CACTAAGAGTCTTTTTGCTAATTTCAATCCCTGCAACAGTACTGCTATCAAAGCCAAGGCAAATTAATTTTCCATCCTATTTAATGATGATAATCTGTATCAAATGCTTTATTAAAGACAAGATAGTCTACATAATTATTAAACAGTATTTACTTCGCATTTGGTAATCAGAAACAGTTGTTCCAGGAATTTGACCAGTGCTTGAAAGGTATTTAATTGTTATTGGACAAGTACTTTCCAGTGGGGAACTTGCATTCAGAACAAAGGAAATAATGTGTTTAGGAGCTTCGAACATAGACTTTGAACACAGTTTCTGTGACATTGTCTTCTGCCATGTCGAGCACCAGGACTTTAATGCTCTGTACATATCCTTGCAGTGAAAATCTGGTTTTTGTCTAACAAGTGTGTGTTGTTTCAGACTCCATGACAGAAAGATGTGTATAATAGGACTGAGCATCCTAATGGAATTGCAGAACCGACCGCCTGCAGTGGATGCTGTGGCTGCTCAGATTGTCCCTTCAATCCTCCTCCTCTTCCTGGGCTTAAAACAAGTTTGCGCCTCACGAGAACTCACAGAACATGAGGATCATGCTAAAGATGAAAAACACGTTGCAGAAGATAATGGTAAAATCTCCCCTTTTCACATTGTGGATTTTGTCTGGATTTAATTTAAAGGGGGTAAGAAATTGCAGTTCATTTTTAAGACTCATTAGTCTGCTGAAAATAGCTCGGCTTACTGGGTGCTTGAAAGATCATCTTAGGAATTGATTTTTCCTCCCAAAATGTAATCAAAACGTTTCAATGTGTAACAGCTAACACTTTGTGAAAGGGTAGTATTGGTTTAAGAGTAACAATAAAACTTGCAAGTCCACTCTTCTGGGTTGTGAATGTGCTCCGTCTTCTCACATAGGCAGCAGGAGTTTGCCAGGACTGCACTGGTTATATTCTTGACTCCTGGAAAGAAGCTGTTTCTAGTACCCAACTACTTGAAAGACCTGTTTGGCTGAACTTTGAAGGAAATCCTAGCAAGTCTTCTTTGTCCAAATGGAAAGTGATTTGCAAAGCGGGGTTTGAGACAGCTGAGGTTCCTGGAGTAGACAGACCTCTTACTGCTGTGTCTGCCAGAAGAGAAAAAATATCAAAGAATACCTTGCGGAGGGAGTTGTGGGGAGTGAATTTTGCACAGCATTGCAGGCAGATATGTGTGGCTCTATTTGACTTGGAACAGGAGATAGATGGTTTGAGGTCTGAAAATTAGATTGGATATAAGCAGATTATGTAATCCACTCAAATTTCACATATGATTGTTCTGTAATGGAATTACAGAATTCTTCTCAATGCATAGGAGTACAGTATGGAAACAGCACAGTAATTTGCAAATCTCTGTCCTGTGATTCTTCAGTCCCTGCTTGTTGCAGATATAGTCATCTTTATTCTTTCTAAACCGTTAACACAGGAAGAGCTGAAGGTTTGGAATTGGAGGGGGATTTCTGTTATCTTGATTTTAAGTCAGAAATATTTTTCCTTAAGTAAGAAATAGCAATGTTTAGAATTGCATGTTGGAGTTGCATTTAATTCAGGATGTAATCGTTGTTTCATAAGCGGAATGGAAGGTCAAGCTAAGCGAAAGGTGCTATTTTAAGTTTGTTCAAATAAAGGAGCACTCTGAAGAATAGCAGGCAGACATTTGGTCTACATCTGGTTTTCTCTTTGTTTTGTGTCAATTTGTGAAGTCTATGCAAGTCTCTATTTGTTCATAATTTAGAAAGCACAGTGATGGAACACTTTGTCAAAGACACATTTCCTCAAAATTTTTGGATCCTATGATTGCACAATGACTGCATAAATGAAAGGAGAAAAAAGATGGCAGTTTCACATTCCCCAGGTGTGCTTAGAAACAGAAGCTTAACTGATCTTGAATGTAGGAAACATTTCAACAGCTTCATTTTTCCAATTCTTCAAAGATTTTGGGGGAAGGGTGTTAACAGAGGGTCCCCTTTCCGGCCAAAACCTAGATTTATTAATTTTTCTTCATTCATAAGTCACTGTTTCCTTACACTTATTAAACTTTGTTTTACAAAACACATCAATGATTTTGCAGAAGAGATACCGAGTGATGAGGAGGAGACAAACGAAGTGAGCCAGGCGATGCAAGAGAACCATGGTGGAGGAGGAGGAGGAGGTGGTGGTGGTGGAGGTGGAGAGGAAGAGGAAGATGATGATGATGATGATGACTGGGATGAAGATGCATTGGAAGAGACTGCCCTTGAAGGGTTCAGCACACCTCTTGACCTTGAAAATGGTGTTGATGAATACCAGTTTTTTACACAAGCACTTTTAGGTATGTGTTTGCTAGTTGGCAGAATGATATAACATGATGAAATCGTTTGGAGATGTTTATGATCATCACTGGGAAAAACCCTTTTCTTTGTTGTGGGTAATAATTTAGATTATGGAAACTGGAAAATGTGATCTTCCTTTCTAATGTTAGTCCTAAGATTTTTTGGCTTACAAGTACTGCAAAAACAAATGGTAGCAGATGCAGCCAGAGATTAATTCTCTTCATGTTCTCTTTCAGAACTTTTCAATCACAGCTTAAATAAGTGGGACTCGGTCACTAGACGGACTCCTATATATAGAAATATTTGTCACTTTCTAGATGTTAAAATCATAATGGAGAAATTTTCTCCCTTTCCTGTTTGACTAATCCTGTTGCTTATAGTTTTGATATGAGTTTTAAATTAGAAGATTCACTTCATCGCTGTCCATGAATAATGGCCACATGGTTAACTTTCTGTTTCAGAAAGCAGAGAATGTGATTAAGTTCCCCAAAACGGATTGCCTCTATTACAGTGGGGATTCTGTGCTAAGAAAACTGACAGGACACTGAACCTGTTTTGCAGTGCAAATGCTGTTTTAAAACCAACCAGGAATTCCATGTGTTTCATTTTGTTCTTCTTAAATTAACTTTGCAATGTGACCTGATAATCACTTTTCATCCATTCCTGTTCTGACAGCGGTGCAGAGCCGAGATGCAGCCTGGTACCATTCGCTGACAGCACCGTTGAGTGAGGATCAGAAGAAACAGCTGCAGGAAATTTATACATTAGCAGAACACCGGCGAAATGCTGCAGGTGAGTCACTTCTCTGGGGCCATTTTGTCTGTTGCAGGGATGTTGGAACTGCATCTAAGCTGTAACAACAGAGAGAATAAACCTCTGTGCTAGGTAACATTTCCTGAGAAGTGTGAGTAGGATATTGCGCTTATATTATCTCTTGCCTGGAAGTGTGTGTTATTCAGAGAGATTACTGTTGCTTCTAATTAATTGCCTTCTCATTGACATGTGCTGCTGTTTGAACAGGGTACGAACTAGTTTTGCACAATCTGACATTTGAAATGAAGAGCAAATTAAGGCAATATCTAGCTGTCAGCCAGGCATTTGATGAAGATTACTATAGATTATTATGTGTTTAAGGGTTTTGTAACTTTTTAATCACTAACATTGCCTTCACAGTCAGGGTAAGGTTTTAGAAGTGTAGAAAGCTTACATCGTGAAAAATAAATTCAGATTTAATCAAAAAGGACACAGAATAGTGTGACATAGACTGATTCTGTAGAGGATTAATTTCTCAGCTCTGTTGCAGAGGTGTGTGCGTTTTATGCATTTAGAGAAAATCTGAGTGTAATTTATTACTGTCACTGCATTTAGGGAACGGAATTTTGACTCAACCGAGCGTTTTTTCCACAACTTTGCATTCTTAGCTGAGCTATATTGTCTCTGTCAAAAGTGTTCTCTATAGACTATTTTTCATATTCTTTCCCTTCTTTGAATTCTAGAGACTAAGACAATAGAACAACAAAGTGGCTACACATTCGACAACAAAGGACTGATCACAGCATTTAACTTTGCTGGAAGTACTCCTGGTGGCAACTGAAGGATCAACTACAAAGGTCAATGGGAAGGGTCTCATCATCACATTTTCTTGAAATCATCGTGACTTCTGAGTGATAGGGGAGGGTAATTTAATGCTGCTGAAGGTTTTCTGGAAAATAGCAGTGTGCTTCCCCCACCAGAATGCTCTTTCTAACCAGCTACTGTAATGTACAAATTCTTGTGGTGTTTTTATAATTCGATGGACTGAAAGGAAACATTTGTCCTTGAGGAACCTGAATGACTGGGAGGGGCCAGGCTGCATCTAATTGAGTTGCACTTCTCAGGTTTTTGCTGTGCAGAATTGATAGATTCATATGGATAACAGTGCCTTCTGTTGTACATGGATTGCCTGAACAAATGGATTTTGGAGTGCATTATAATTTTTTAAGTGTAAGGACATTTCTTGATACACTGTAAGCCTTGGTTCCATGTTTTCCAGTCACCTGCTTTTTACTACTCAGTTTAATTGTTCGTTGGTTGCATACACGTTGCTGGATTCAGAATATGATTTCATCTTCCCTATTTGGTGCAGACCAAACGTGTAGAGGGAGGTGTCTGTTGGAGTTGCAAAGCATACACTGGTTACATCAAAGGGTCTGAACAAAATTGCAGATTTTCCCTTGATGCAGTAGTCTTAAATTATTTCTCTTAGCCGTGAAATCAACTCGCTTGAGTTATGATGGCACGCATGGCAGGTGGCTACCCTAAATCTGCATTGATATTACCTCCTGCCTGGACAAGTGGTGTGGCCCTCGCATGTAGATGTTCTACATGACAACTTTTTATTTCCACTATTTTTGATGAATATTGGATTTTACTTGGGATTCTATAAAACTCTTTTCTGTTTTTATTCATTCATTACCATTCCAGTGGTAGTACTGAATAATGTGGTACAAAATATTTACAGTATTTTATTTATCTTGATAGAAGAAAAACAGCTCCAAACTTATTTCTTCTTACTCTTACACTTCTGTGATTGAATTTCTGATCTGCATTCCATTTGGCTGTTCTTGTCCCATGCTGAAATTTCATTATCTGCCAGATTTTTTCCTAAATTTCAAAGACTGGTTTCTCATAAATTGAAACACATATAACAAAGTGTTTGTGAATATGTTTATTTAGTGAGAAACTGATAGCAGTACTAATTTGAATAGGTGCCCCTCCTTTAGATCTATTGGGATCACAGTGGTGTAGCCAAAGTAAGTAGGGGTGCTTTAGAATGTGAAGTTTGGATTGGAGATAAAATGTTTAGACCAGATTTTGTCTCGATGTGTTAATTTCTTTATGACTTAAAAACATTTACCAAGCAATTTTAAGCGGATACTGATAATGTATTTCTTTAGAGCAGTGCCGCAACTGAAAAGTCGAAGCCCTTCCCATATCCCATCAAATTTTCAATGGCTGTAGCGGATTACAGATTGCTGGCCCGGCACTGTGCTGAAGCTTTCATTTTTTATATGTCAGAGTAATTATAATTCAGTCTGATAAATCTGAAGTGCTCTACACCTTCGCTTCTGGAAAAGGCCAAAGTATCTCCGTCTGTTCCTTGCCCCATCCTCTGGAATTTTCTCAGCCTGGCAGCTGTGGGGCAGAAGATTCCCTGCTGCTTTCCTTTTTCCTGCACCTTTGTGTCAGACTCTCTCTGGTGCTGTTCGCTGCTGCTGCTGCTTTTTTTTTTTCCCTCTCCACACAGCAGCTGCGGAGTAAAGTTGGCCTGGTTCGTGTAGGTTTTTCACTGCTGCTACTCACTTAATAGCAACAGTGAAAATTTCTCACTTTTAGGTCTGTTGTACATATGGAAAACTGTGGAAATTCCAGGGTCTGTATTTCCAAAAGGGAACAATACTTTGAGCTGCATTGGACAGGCTCTTTAAGCTCAAGCAACAGGGGGCTGGGACATCCTTTATTTTGAACATCAAGCCATGAAAATTATGTCACTTTTGCTGATTTAGGCCTGGGGGTATATTGACTGAGATGGTAGGAAGGCATTACATCCAGTTTGTTGGTGAGTTTCTCAGAAACCGTAGACGTTTTGAAATCCTTCAGGAATTTAAGAAGCGGTTTTTGGAAGATAAGGACATGAACAACTTCTCTCTTACCTGACAATTGAAGTTAAGTATTAGGCAGGTAAACTGTTTAAGCCCATTATTATTTTATTAAAAAAAAATGAGATTGTCAAGTTGGGTTTCTTTCAAAGCCCATTTGCCTTCTCTACACTGGCATGCAGAGTAGAAGAGGGATTTATTTTTCTCCTGCTAATGAGGTTGCTTGCACAGTCACAAGCTAATATTTGGGAGTTAATGTGTTCAAGGAAAAATCTGCTTTTGCATAGCATCATCTTTGTGTCACTCAGCTGAACTATGGCTGCTCCCTAGTTCTGCTTCTTGTATACTTTTCAAATCAACTGCCAAGAAAATTTCATCCAGATGTTTCTTACAAGGGGTTTAATCAGCAGCGTGGAGTCGGGAATCTTTGTTGTCTATTTTCAGTGGGGGTCAGAGATGTCTGAGGGGATGGCATGTAGAAAGGTTAAATGCCCTTCCTATCCCAGGAGATTCACGAGCAAATGTTTCTACTGGCAAAAGCAAATGTTAATTATTTTATTCCTTTTTTTGAAAAGGGTTTTCATCCAAAAAGATTTATTGGGCTCTAGCCTCCACTTCAACATATGATTCTCTTTTAACATGATAAATATCCGTTTGTACATGATCATAAATAGGTAATGGATTTTAGGGATTTCTTTCTGAGCTGTGTCCAGCTTTGTACTACATTAAAGGGAGAGTAACACAAATGTGCATTACTGTCTCACTTTGAAGCCAAGGTAATCATGGAATATCAGATACCAGCATCGGCCAACCAAGCACGATGTATTTGCCGTTGGAAGTACAGAGAATCCTGAATGTCTTGTAAAATAAAACAAAGGCTGATAACCGGTGACCTATGTTGCCCCATGCCCATGTTCCCAAAGTGTGAAGGTGACTTGTATGGGAACCATGGGGGCTTTACATAGGAAATTAGCATTACGTAGGTTATAATCATAGCAAATGTTACCATACATGATAAGCTGCTTTTTCAGATAAAATTAACTGATCCTGGGTATTGAATTGTATATGCTGTTTTGTCACTCTTGAAAGGAAAATAAGAATCACCACATGTTTTGGCTGCTTCTTTTTGCTTCTCTTTTTCAAAGTTAAAGTACTTGGTTTGCAGTCATTACAAAGCAAAATCTTTAATCAAAATGGCCAGCTCCAGGAAGAGTGCAGAATATCAGGCTAAGGAAAAAGCTAAAAAGCCCCAACCCCAACAATCCCCCCAAACTCACATGTGCACAGTCTGATTGAAATAAACGTGCTTTGGGAGTGTAAGTCAAAATATGTAAAGAATGTTACACCTGCAGGGTGTCAGGGAGACATTAAATGTCTCTTTGGGACATGCCCTTTGCCTGTGAAGTCCAGGCAGTTTGTGACTCTGGATTCCATCATACATTGTAGAGGGGAGAAGGTAGGAGAGTAGAGGATTTATTTTTTTTTACTATAAAGCAAGAGTCTGTCTTGAGACTTTTGTGAGCCAAAGGAATTGTAGACAACATGAATGATTAACTGTCTTTTGTTTCCAGAATACTTTTCAGCCTTTTTTCTTCCCTCCTTTCCTTCTATTTGCCAACCGCTATGTTATCAGCTATTTCAGGGGATATTCAAAATACTTGAAAAGGTAAAGCTTAAGCAATTTTTAAAAAATCCTGTTGTTCTTGAAGCAATGCAACCTATCCATTGCATTTCTATCTAAAGAACAAAGTCCCTCATTTGACATATGCAGATGACACAGAACTACAAAAATCCCTCACTTGTGCCTGCAGTTTGGTGAGCCTTTCTGTGATTTACTTCTTAATATGGGTACTTTGAAATCCCCACCCCTTGTACTGAAATTTGCTCAAAGGATAGGCAAAAATGCACTATGTAATGCAGTAGCCAGTCCTAGTTCTGAGGTAGACCCTAGTCAATCTTTTGATAATACTTGACAGCCTGGTGGTCAGTTCCTCAAGGATCTGTCTCTTACTGAGGACATTCTTCAAGTCCAAGAGACTCTGTATCTTTGCAGGTGGACAGAGAATCATATTTCCCTCATCGCAGCAAAGCATACAGCAGGCATGGATATCAACTTCTTGATCTTATGAGTGAAAATAGCACTCTTTTCTCTCGGATGTCAAATCTTACCCCAAACAGATGGGATACAGTAGAGATGGGTGTTCCCAGGAAGCCAGACAGTATTCCAGATACCAGAAGATCTTAGCATAAAGCCATATCGTAAAGAGGATATATGAACAGGCCAAGCTGCTTGCTTTTGAAACCTTTTCCACTGCTACTACTTTTGTAAAACCAACCAAACAAAAACAGTGTAAAATGAAAGAGAACTAAAGCAGTGCTTGTGCACTAGACCGGTAGAAACTTCCCTGGCCTGTGGATCTAATCCCAGTACTCACTGCAAATGCACTCATATACTTTGCAACATCTGTATGGATATCAGTACCCTGAATCTGACAGCCATTAATGAGAGGTAAAGACTTAATGTGATTTTTCTCTGGCAGAAAACAGATGCATCCCTTTAAAAAGTGGGAACCTGTTGTCCTGGCTGATGTGCAATCACCAACGGGAGACACTCAGTGGGATTACAGCCTTTCTTAAAGATAGTCAGCATACCTGCTACTAAAGGGCTACCTGAAGTGCTCCATGTCTAGGGAGCTGATGAAACCACTCCTCAACTAAAGAGTTTTGGGGAACAGCAGTTCAGAGAGAATCTGCAGGCATATGTAATTGTGATGAATTGGGAAAGCATCCATTTAAATTGAGGTGATGCATTTGATACGATCTGAGGATCTGCAGTGTTCCCAATGTTGCCTGGATCTTCTAGAGGAGCGTCCAAGAGCTTTGTCCCATGCCTTTCTCCAGGAAGAGAATACCCTTGGGCAGGCCCAAATTTGGCGCGATGCTTTGAACTTGGGATCAGAAAGCAATTTTGATTACAAGCTGGTAGTTGTCCATATCAGAAAAATGAGGTGAAAGCGGTATATTAATGCTAGGAGTCTCTTTATAGGCTGTGTAGAGGTTCACAATTGTAAGTGCTTGGCGACGTGCATGGCAGGGTAGGAGATGAACTTTCAGATGCATTGATTTCTCCAGTGTGAATAAAACAGTGTCAGCTCCAGGATTCACCTGAGGTGAATGGAGAGTGTTGGTCAGGGGCCGCCTGCTGGACCATCCAGGATTACGTTAGATGAAGTGAAATGCAAAAAGTGAAAAATTACTTGATAGTCAAAGCTGTTGAGCAACAAAAATGAATGTTTTCTCGAAATGAGACTTTAATACTGTGTTCAGGTATGTTTTAATTTTCAGGTTTCTTGCCCTTACGCAAAATACAAAATTACTACATGACATGGAGGCCTATTGATTTTTCACAGGATTGTTTACTATTGAAGGTGTTTATCCAAGAATTGTTCCTCATTTTTAGATATTTTCAACATGTTTGTTGGTAAAGTTGCACATACCCCTCTTTCACTACTTTCCATGCACAGAGATCTTGGAAATTAACTTAAAAGGAAGAACAACAGTGCTTTGAAAAGAGAAGACTATGCATAAGCAGGTTATTTCTAGAAAACAGAACAACTGTGGCCTCTGAAGAAAATATGAAACAATAAATATTTATACAACAGTGCATGAGGTAAAGAAAGGAATATAAGACAATATAAGCGAGACTTCGTTCTTCGATCACAGGTGTAATGTTTTTTTTTCATTGCCAAACAATGTGTGAAAATTGCTTTTGATTGCATGTGCTGTTGGTAGTACGCCTAATGTAAATCACCTGAAATGTTTTTGGGCTCAGAAAGAGACCAAAGAGGCCGTGCAGATTTCTTTTGATATTAAAAGCAAAGATAGGAGCCCATGCCTGCAGTGACTGGAGGGAGACCGCTGTGTGCTACATTAGCAGATTAAATTGCAGGATCATCACCTTTGTAAGAAGCCTAAAGTACTAAACTGTGGGTTGGCTTTGAGGGCAAGAATTGACAAATGCAAAAGATGCATTGATGACAAGAAGAACCTCTTCCTAGCTTAAAGAATTCTGTACAGTGTTCTCTTAAGCTGTGCTGAATTTGCTTTAAAAATAGTAATAAATCTTATTGCTTAGGTCAAATGTTACATCTGTTGTGCATTTATATGGGAGTAATAATATTTCTTAAAAAAATGTAATGTGCCACCTACCAAGGAGCCCAATCTCATTTTACAGCCTCTCTTCATAGAGCCATAAAACTCTGAAGAAGAACAAAGAACAAGAACACCCCAGAATTAATTTTAAACAAATGTGCGTTATCCAGAGTTAATGTGTGCATTTGTGTAGCAGTGTGCGTTTGTTAATCTCAGACTTGGGAAGGCAACTATTCACATGCACGCTTTGCCTGCGAAAGAACATAACTGACGTTTGATGTAGATAAGATCGTTACGGATCATCCAAATACAGTTCTTAAAATATCAAACTAGTGAAGACAGTCACCTTGCAGTCCTGAGAGAGGGGATTGCACCAGAGCTTGGGCCAGTCTTCTGTGCATGGAATTCATAAAGACGTTTTACCAGGCTTCCACAAGACAAGAGATTAATCC